TTGTTCTCATTTTATTGCTTTACTTTATCATTTCTTACACTGCAGACTAAGAGTTCGTAGGTTCCAGCAACCCTAGATTCCAGGCTGTCCGCCTCCCTTAGTAGTAATGATCGCACAATAACTTCATGACACTTTCTACCCTGCTCTGTAACAGGACTGCCGGGGTTGACAGGTTTGGAACGATCGATAATTAACCAATTGCAGACGTAGCTATAAATCATATAACATAAGTCACATTCATATTCGAACTAAGAGTATATCATCTCAATCAGCTAAGTATACGATGCGATGCTTCTACTGAATGACGATTACGTAACCGTTTCAACGCCGAATGACCTCTCGGATAAAATAATCTCGAGTCTCTCCGCAAGAAAGACTAAACTGCTTCGGTTAGTATCCACTCCAGCTAAGAGTTCAATTAGTTGGGGTGGAGTGCGAGAAAAACTGCGAACGGAAAAAGGAGAGAGATCGAGGCCTACTGTGTAAATGCGAACTCAACACTAAATTTTTTTCCAGCCGTTTCTCCGCACTAATCCCCAACTAACCAACGTTAACTATCTACAGTATCTGTTGTCCTCGTGACCAAGGACAATGATGTATATTAATGGGTACAATTATATACGAGTGACCCATGGAGACTACGGAAATTTACTTGGGTTTCCAGCATATTTCTGCACTTCTTCTTTTATGAATTACTATCACTATAATCTTTTTGCAAAGAGGTTACCATAGCAACAGTGTAACACGCCACAGCGCCCTTAATGAACCTTACGAACATATAGCTCCAAACATTGAGCTTGGTTCCACTGACCCCTCTAACTTTTTAGAATTGAAATAGGATGCATGGGAATATTACAACTTTTTACCGAGTTTAATAAATTCGTTTTAACAAAATGGGGTTTTCCGAACTAGCTTTTGCATCAAAAGTCTTAGTGTAGTGTTTCTAACAGAAAAAACCGTTGCTATGGTAATTTGTAACCTCAAGAAAATGATTGTATCTTGTTTATCTATGATTGGGCATTTTTTAAAATGCCATTATTATAGCTTCAAGTAAGAAAGAGTGTTAATATCAAAGTCAGTAATTATACTGAAGGGCAGCGAATGGTACCTTGAATATCTTGGAAACTTTCTCTTGGAAACTTTTGTTTCGATTCGAAATTTCGGAAGCATTTAAGAAGAGTCACGAAAAATCATTTTTCTGTGTTTCATTCGTCTCCCAATCTGAAATGTCTAAAGTCTCGGCAGTCACGGACCCAGGGGGTACTCCTATCATGGCCAAAATGTGGAGGCTTCGCAGGAAAGGGGTACTTCAGGCTTCAGTTATATTGAAGGGTAGTGATTTCACAAGCTGAGGTATATGAAAGGGTAAGAAAATCGGAATATCTTGACTCCCGCCACAACATGAACTGAACAAATAATACTTCTTTTCTGGTCAGCATCTCTTCTGGTAATGCTTACTGTTCTCCCATAATGTTTTTCCTAACCTCATTCCAAGGGTTTAGAAAAGCGATGCAGTGTTCTAAAGAAGGTCTGTGAAAGAGGTGTACAAAAGGGGTATACAAAAGGGGTATCTTTTGTGTCAAAATGGTATGCAAAAGGGCAAGGAGGTGAACCTCGGGGTGGAGCCTCCACTTTTTAGAGTAGCACCCCCGGGGTCACTGATTTTCAAACAAGGATGTCGGCGTCTCGGCGAGTGTCGATTTTTACCATCCGTCACCCTTATCGTTGTCACCACCTTAAGAAATCGAACAATAATCCCTTACGGTGGGTGTTCTCACTTCAACTTTCTTAATTTTCCCGGTTCCATCAACGAAAAACGTTAACTTTTTAAGACGATGTGACTTCCACTTTTGTTTCAGCTTTTCCTCTTCACTCGCCGGAGGCTTCCAGCTGCCGTCCCAGGTCAGCACATCGTTACTTGCGTACGAGATTACTCCATAGCGTAAGTATGTCATGAGCTTAACTGAGGAACTACTGCTCGGCGAGGTGACGTCAAGGTCTTCACTGGAAACTGCAAATACAAATGATTATTGCATCTAAATCTATCAAATTTGAAAATATACATTTAATATACATTTTCTTTAGCCGATTTGTTTTTGTTTTATCTACGTATAGAATACGTTTTTTCTAATGCTTAGGATCATATTTAGTGAAGTCAGATGACTAACATAATCATCTGCTCAGGGGCATAACTCCGGCAAGAAAAATCTCATATTCAGTGCTCACCCACATGATTTCGGCCAGCGCTCGCTCGACGCTCTAAAAGAAATCAACAACCTGAAGCAGAAAATCTCGGTTACATTTTGACCGTGCGCATGCCGTCAAGTTCAGTTATGGTTTCTAAATATGCGCAGAGAGAAACCGCTGTACTGAAATGCTGGGTCACGTTCCGATTCGCCCAGAGATCCCGATCTATTCTGCTGACTGGATCGCGACCTCTGGGAACGAGAGTGTAGCAATACGCGACTTAGAAGAACGGTATTATCCTGGATAGGGTGCTAGTCCATCCAGCGGGTTACTTCCCAGCATTTGGTTTGAGACCACCAGCCTTGCAGGGGCGGATCTAGAGGGAGGGTGCAGGGGGTGTGCACCCGCCTGAGATGAAGCCTCCTTCTTCATATTAGCTCGTATTCGCTTTTAAACTTTGTTTACCTCACCAGTCAGTTACGCCATTCCTTAATGGTGCACCCCGTCCTAAGAAAAATCTTGGATCCGCCCCAACCTTGTCACGAGCCCACACCAAGAGAGGATGAAAAGTAAGAGAGTCCATCTCCCATGTAGACCTCAGTGGCGGATCCAGACCTTG